AACCCGGTGCGCCCCCCCTGGCCAGCACCAGTCCCAGGGTAGACATGACTGGGGAGGGTGGAAAAGGGGGGACAGTGGTAGAGTCAGGAGGATCTGCAGATTTCCCCATATTATATTCCCCATTCTTTGCTCAGGGAAATGGAAAAGCCTCAGAGGGGTCAGCACCACCCTGAAGAGCTCATGGTGGGGTGAGGAGCTCATCCTACATGATGGAGGGTGGCACGGGGGGAGGCATCCTACCTGCTAGCAGGACCACCAGGCCAGCAGCAAAGGCATCGGGGTGCTCTGCCAGCCCCACAGAGCTCATGGCTGCGTGAGCACCCAAAAACTTCCCCATCTTCTTGCCGAGGAGCTGGTCAAAGGTAGCGCTCCAGGCCCGGGCAACGCTGGCGGTACCTGGGGAGAGGTGGCAGCTGGGGCAGCGATGGTGGGGTCTAGGAATGACACCCAGCAAAGCCACCAATGCAAAGCAAAGATGGAGGGATCAAAAGAGCCTTATACCGATGACATAGGACAGCAGCAGATTCCACCCAGCGATGAACGCCCACAGCTCGCCCACTGTCACGTAGCTGTAGAGATAGGCGGACCCGGCCAGGGGCACACGGGGCCCGGATTCAGCATAGACCAGCCCTGCCAGAGCAGACACCACGGCTGCAATCAGGAAAGCAAGGATGATGCTTGGGCCAGAGCTGGTCTTAGCCACTTCCCCTGCCAGGACGTAGACGCCAGCCCCTAGCGTGCTGCCCACTCCCAAGGCGACGAGGTCCACGGTGGAGAGGCAGCGGCGAAGGCTGGAGCCCTCCGAGCTGGCTGGGACTTGCTTTCTGCGGGAAAGCATCTTTGAAACAGAGCGCAGGCAGCCCCAGCACAGCACCTGCGGGAGAGGAAAGCAGCAGGCATGAGGATGCTGCTGCCCCACGGGCACTGCCCCGAGGATGTGACCCAAACCCAGCCTAAACATTTTACTTGCAGCTCCCACCCTCCACACGATGCTTTCTGGACCCCCTGGGTGCTGCCTGTTTCCTGGCTCTGCCAGAAAAGCAGCCCGTTTTGGAGCAAGATGGGGCTAAAGTGGCTGCGTTGTGCTCTCATCCCCAGTGAGAAGTGAAGCAATGCATGACTGGGGTTTGCTGGGCTCTGTCCAATTCATGCTACAGTGAGAGGGGACAAGGACACCTGCTTGTCCCCCTGCCAGCTTAGAAAGTCCTATTGCTCCAGCAGCATCCCCAGCAGGGATGCACAGCCAGCATTTTCCCAGCTTTGACACCGACCCTATTTGAAATGCAGAAACCATGCCAGAGAAGGAGGGATGAGAGATGCTCTGCTCCTGGAGCAGCCGTTGGCCTTGAAGTGCACCAGGAAGGACCCATCTGCTCAGCTGAAGATGCTCCCACAGCACCCGTAACTGTGGGTCAATGGCACAGCTCAAACAGAGACTGGGTCCCCTGGGCCATCAGCCTGTACACTAATGCTGTGGCTTGCTCAGGTCACAGATGGATCCCAGCCCAGCAGAAACCCCGAACTGTGTGATATTTGTGCTTGGGGCAAGTGAAGTGTTTGATATGGCATGCCTGCAATTTGTGTGCCTTCCCCCATCCTGCCCGTCCTTCCCCAAGAGCTCCCAGGACTGGAGGAAGGGGGGCTGCATGCCTCCACATCCGCATGGACCTCCAGGTTACCCCACAGCGAAGTCCATGCTCCACATTTCAAATCCCATAATCTGCTACTTACAGGGCCAGGGAGCTGGCTGGAAACCCTGCCCTCCGGCACGTCCCAGCAGCACCGAGGATCACAGGGCCATGCGGTCCCTGCTGTGGCGTGGAGCCCAGAGGGGACAGGGCAGTGCCCAGCACCCTGACCCACAGGATGGGGTGCTGTAAGCCCTTGTGGCACAGAGAGCCCCAACCTTCAGAACTGCTGTGTCTCCTGGGAGCTGGAGAGCTGCTGCCCAAGGCCAGGCCAGCTGGGGCTGCCTTCCCACCCCCCAGCAGCACCCACCCGCTGCATAACACCAGCCCCAACCAGGGCATCTCGCCCTGATGATTTTCCCTTCTGCAAACAAACTACTTACTCCAGCCATCCTTTGGGCAAACTGCTCCAGCTGTGAACTGACGGGGAGGGTGAGCACCAGGCAGCCCCGGTTACACTCTCCCCTTAAATCCCTTTCGGGAGCCCCCTGGCCCTCCCCCGCTGACCACCGCTCCAGGCTGCACAATGGGAAATCTATGCAGAAATATTTTTCCCACAACGCCTTCCAAATCATACACACAAGCCTGCAATGCTAATAGGCTCACAGGCATTACTGAGGGAGTTTAATGAACATTTCAAAGTTGCCTGTGCAGGTGGAAGGGGGAACCCCTTCCCTCTGTCCCTGCACCCTCACACCAGGACCTTCATCTCAATCTATGGAGCAGGTTTTAGAGGAAATCCAGGCAGAAAGGAGCAGAAACATGGCCAGGTCAGGATGCAGGGGTGCATGCACCTACAGCTGAGACTGTACCTGGGCAACACAGAGGGAGGTGAGCAGGTCCAAGAACTGACTGCAGCAGCAAGGCAGAGGAGCACAGACCCAGCTCCATGGGGTGTTTGCAGCAGCACATCCAGCTGTAGCTCCCAGAAGCAAAGTCCTGAGACTGCCTGCACTTCCCCAGTATTTGGGCACCAAGACCCCAGTTGCTGCCCACACCTTGTCACAGCCCCATTGCAGAAACAGCAGTCTTAGATGAGGAAGAGAAGTACCCAATCAGCCCAAGTACAGCTTATAGCAGAGCAGGCAGCAGCACATCCATCACTGACCCATCCAGCCTTGCCCTGGGAGCAGGGCTGAGGCTGCAGCTCTCAGTCCAGGCAATGCCTGCCCCTGCTCCATTCCAGCCCCCAGGCTCCCCAGCTCCTGTCCTGGCTAGGGGGGTTGCAAGGGGCAACAAGACCTGAGTGTTCCTCTCCTCCATAAGGAATTAAATGGGCACCAGGAATGACCCTGACACAGTACCTCCCTCCTGGGGTACAGCCCACAAGGGCCAAGCAGTAGAGCACAAGCAGGGACTGGGGTGAGTCCAGGGCTGGGCTTAAATGGGGGCCCAGGGCTGTGTGGGTGGGGGCCCCAGGTGAGGCTGCTCAGAGCCAGTAAGGCATATAAGTGCCCTCAGGCTCCAGCACAGCTGTTCTGTAGGGCTGCTCCTAGCAGGGAGAGGACATGGGGGAAGTTGTGGTGTGACCTGGCTGGTCTTCAGCACCTTAGGAGAAGAAGACCAAGTCTGGGGCTCTGAGGAGAGGCTGGGAGCTGGTATTTTGGGGTGAGGAACTAACTTTCATTTTGTTGTAGACAGTGTTCAGGCTGAGTCTGCTTACAGTATTTAGGGACATAAATCTCTTAGGTTGTGTAGTTCAGCACATCCTTCAGCTTGTAAGGAGCAGAGGAAGGGGATATCAGCCATGCAGGAACAAAGCAAAGAAGGATCTAGAGCACCTAAAGCATAGGTATATGCTCTAACAATAAGGCTGCCCTATCCTAGCTGTATGGGGCAGCCCCATGTCCCCAGTGCACCCTGTGAGCTGCTGGACTAGCACCTCTGGGGCAGGGGGCTCAGCACACCATGACACAGCCAGGGGCACTGGGAGAAGAGCAGGGCTGTTGTCCTGCATTGCAGCACAGGGTGAACAAAGCTGTGCTTGTCACCCACGCTCACATGAGTGAGGTCTCAGACACCAACGCCAGCCCGAGGGAATATTGCCCTGAGGGACCAACAGGGCACAAAGGAGCAACCGGTGCTAGCTGGCCATGAGGGTCTCTCCCTCTCAGGGTGCCTCCAGTTCCCAGGGGGGCACAGCCCTGTGGCTGCACGCCACATGTGACATGTGACACCCAACCTGGGGTCCCTGCTGCCCAGGACTACCATCTCCCAGGACAGGCAGGGCTGAGCAGCTCAAGCTGCCCTGCAGCCCCAGAGAGATGCTCTAGCCAGCGGCTAACCCGCTACACCCCCGGCGTCGGTGG